TAGAAATGCTTTGCATGACTCTTGCAAGTATTTTTGCTTTTACTTACATTGATTTTATTACAGAAGATGAAAATAAAGTTGGAACGCTTGGCTAAGTATTAACAGATAATTGGAAAGCATTCTAACATGATTTTAGATTAATAAAACCAAAGAAATTTGGGTATTTATTTTTAATTTAATCTTAGATTTATATCAAAAGTCCATGAAATTGAAATGCATAACAAAAGAATATCAGGAAATTAAGAATTTGAAGTTACATTAACAGGTGATTACCAAAGATTAAGTAAGGCTATAGATGTTCAATATATATGAATTATATAAATAATTATATTTAATGATTATTGATTTGATAATTACAAATCCCAGAATAACCAATTTTTATATGATTTATTTTAATAACAAAAATCTTCATCCGAAATTAAAAAATAATTAAAGAAATGGATAGAAAGCTGCAAGAAAAGATTAAAAATTTATTTTAATAGAATTTAAACATAATTGTTAATAAATTTCTATCATGACTTATTTATAAATCCAAATAATCCTCCTTTTTTTGGTTATGCAGCTTATTATTAATTTGATTATTATGGCTGATCATCAACTTTTAATTAATTTGAAGTGGCATTCTAAAATAAGTAAAAACTTTTACAATCGCAGCCTATTTTGCAGCATCACTTGTAGCAGCTTATTATCCTACTTTTTCTGCAGCATTCAAAGCCCAATCTGGAGCACCTGGAATCTAACTTTTTAAACCTGCTTTGGCTGCTTATCCTCCAGCATTTTTCATTTATTCTTTTACTCTTTCATCTTCATAAAATTATGCAACAGATTTATCAACTTATTAATTGTATTATTGAGTTAATGTTTAAGAGGAAGAGGGTTTACTTCCTTATAAAGGATTAGCATTTTATTATGGGACTTATTGTTAGGGAGGTTTTTAAACATTTCCAAATAAGTTTTATTGTTGTTTTGGTTATTAAGTCTATTATTGATTTTATTATTGATTTTATTATTACTATTATTATTATTACTATTGCTATTATTATTATTATTATTATTATTATTACTATTACTATTATTATATTTATTATTACTATTGCTATTATTATTATTATTATTGTTATTTTTATAATTGTGCATCAGTCATTAAATTTTTCGAGGTATCAGAAGATGTTTGAGTAGCTGGAGCTTTGTTTTATGTATTTATTTAAGCTTTTGGATCTTATTATTTTTATTATTATTATTATTATTATTATGTTTAAGGTTTAGTTTATTAGAGTTGTTGTTATTGTTATTATTATTATTATTCAGCAGCTTGGTCTTCTTAAGCTTATAATATATATTCCGAAAGACTAAAATTATTTTCATAAGATACTCAGGGTCTCTTTTAATGATTTTTTAGGCATTTCTAAAAGTCTCTATTTCCTTATTTAATTTTTTTCTCTCCTCTACTATATTCTAATCTTCACTTATCGCTTGGAGCAAATATTGGTTTTACATTAAATTTTATTGTAATTACATAAGCATTTTAGTCTAATAATAAATTATTGATGATTACTTAACACCCTTTCACTAAGAAATAACCAATTAATTTAGGAATATTATCTCTTGTTGATCTAACAACTAATTTAAAATAATGTTCAATTTTATTTTTCAATTCAGCAACCATATACTATCCTTTAACAGGTTAAGCCTCTTTGGCAGGTTTACCAAGTCTAATAAACTATTTACCAGCCAAATAATTGAAATCATTAGTGAAAACATAATTCATTTCAGCTTCCAATATATCCTATACAGAATTTTGAGCATGTTATTTACATTCTTAAATAATTTCAAGAACTTATTCCTCTAACATTTTAAGAACAGATGGAATTCTAAATAAAAAAATTTAGATTACGTTTGTAATTAATCATCCAAGATTGCTATTGCATAATCTTCAAGAATTGAATAAGCTTCATCAATAATATTAAAAGCTGGTTATTACAATCTTTTTAATTCTGGATTTAATAATGCATAAAATGCATCAACAGGAAGAAATCCAGGAATAGTTAATGCTGAATATTTTTAAATAACTTGTGTAATATCATCTTCAGAGTATTTCTTTAAAGCTTAGTATTCAAGGTCATTAAACTCATCATATAATTCTTAGAATAATAGTTTTATTTTGGCTCCAGCCGGAACTTGGAAAAAATCATTTTTCTTTGCTGATTTAATCTTTTGATAAGATCCTGTAATTGAATTTCTAAATCTAACAGAGAACTCATGAATTAATTTCCATATATAATGCATTTTATCCTAAAATAATGTTATTTAGATATACTGAGTCTTCAATTGGCAAACCTGGGCCTAAGACATCTAATCGTACTTAAATTTTAGCAACTCTATTATTAATCTCTTTCATTAATTCTGGAAGGAAACTTCTAATCCTTCTATAAAGAATTGTAGTTAATTTTCTAGTTAGAACTTAAGTTCCAAAGATTTCACCTGGAATAGTTGAATACACAGGATGATTTGCAAAAAAGTTTTTTTCTCTAAGAACTGCTTAAATAATGGGAATATTATCATTAATTTCTTATTAAGATCTCAATTTGACACCAACATAACCATATTTTAATGGTACTTCTTCTCCTTTAAGCATTTTGAATGCATTTGTTCCTTAATCCATAATATCAATTTTAGTCAAGACTCCAATTGTTCGAACACCTTTGAAAATTAAGTATAAATAGTACCATCGGGATCTAATTTTTTAGCTAACAACAATGCATCAGATGTAGTCATATCAGCATTTGCAGCAACAACACATAATATAATTGCTGATTTATCTTCACAATATCTTTTAGCCATATTGGTTGTTATTTCTTCAATATTTGATGGCTAACCTGCTATTGGTATACGAGTAATTCCTGGAAGATCTAATTTAAAATTTAAGATTTTTCGATACCTACTAAAGTTAGATCAGGACAATTAGGTCCTTAGACTGCTAATATTATAGGCTTGTCAATAATGTTTTTAGCCTATCCACATACCTTATCAGTCAACTCATTTATTTATTTTCGAACTTCTTCAAAATTTGTGAACTTTTTGCCTTTAATTTCTTCAACAAACTCTGCAGTTGGTGTAGGACATACACTTGCTGGAGCATTAGATAAACGTAATTCTAATGGTCTTCTTGTCACAACACCCTAAATTCAATAACACAAGAAATTACAGATCCTCTTGGGAGAAAATCTATTCCAACTATATGCTCTAGTAAAGAAGACTTTCCTGCAGATTGAATACCTAAAACAACAATTCTTGGTAATTTGATATAATCATTTAAACCAATATCTCTTAATTGATCCACTAATGTGATAACTTTTCTTAAATTTTCTAATAAGCTCACACCTTATGAATTTGACATAAAAATAAATATTTAATATCATATTATTTTAAATAACCCTTATATCATTATTATTATACTCAATCAATTTACTAATTAGATCAATATTCTCAAAGGTTAACTATCTAACATGACTTACAATATGTCTAGTTGATCGTTTATTCAATTAAAAAACAGATCTATTGATAACAAAATTTAGAAAGCTATTTATTACAAGCTTTAAATAGTACAATTATACTGCCTTAGTAATTTATATGTATAAATAAAGATTGAATTCTTTGGGTAATGAAAAATGAAGATCAATAAATATATTAATATTATCATTTATATCAAATCTATATACAAATATTATAAATTAAGATTAAAATCAACCAAAATCTAACTTACTAATGTCCCTTGCAAATAATAACTATGTTGTTGAGAGAGCCAAGTTTGATAATGGAATTCTATTAGTTTTAAGAAGCAATTTGAAAAAATCAAATGAAATTTACAATCTTCTGAGAACTTTTTAATTAATGAACAGAGGCTTTAGATTCTTTAAAATATTTTATTTATAATTATCAAAGATCATTTAGCATAAATATTGAGTAATTATGACATAATTTGTTACCAAAAAAATGTTAAAAAGGATTTAATTTATCTAATTATATTGATATTCACAATCAACAATTGTATTCAATATCGATTTATCTTTCTAAATTTCCATTTTTTATTAATAGATTTATTTAGATGTTTTGTAATGTATAAATTATGTTTATTTTTAATTTTGATAACATTACAACAATCTTAATCATGTAGTCATGTTAATGGTTGCTAAAGAACAAAGTAGATAAAATCAATCTTGAGAGGCAATTACAAAAATATTATAAGTTATGAGAATGGCTCTTTATTAGTAAGTAGAAAATAAAACTCATTTAATGGGTCAGGAAGATTTATTGGAATGCTTTTTAGAAACGAAATATATGAAAATTCAGCTGATTTAAAAGGTACTTTCTGTGGCATAAGCTATTCTATACTTATAGAACTGAGATAAAATTATGAATTGAATAATCTTAAATTATGGCTATGGGATGCACAAGCACGATATTACAATCTTATAGTGTATGCTATATTCTCAGAAAAGGAAACAATTATTTTTGATTCAGTTTCTGCATAATCAATCATTCACATTTAATTTCCTGTTTAGATTGTTAAACAATTTAGAATTTACAACAGAAACGGAAACTCAGCTTCAGGGACAATAAATGTAGTTAAGGCAGAGGCATATTATCAAATTTGAAAATATAGAATGAGTTTATTATATTATTACTGATGGAAATCCTTAATTTTATAAAAAAAAATCTTGTATTTTTATAATTGACTACCTATATAAGAAACAAATATATTTTTATACTAGAAACTAGATAAATGAAAAATATAATAAGTAGTAAGTAAATTCTAAGCATTGATAAAAATTGATATATCCAAAATAATGAAGATTTCTGAAAAATATTATTGTGAATAAAGAATTGTTGATTACTTCATCCAAATGAAATCTTAATTAAGTTTATCTTTGAAAAATTTATGATTAACAAATTAATTAGAAATAAATATGTCTGTATAATTAAATATAAAATTGATTGATATGAATTAAAAAATCAAAAAGCACCATGAGGTTTTATCTTCAGCTGCAAATTAACATAATCAATTTTTAGATGCAGATGAAGTTGCTACATTGATAAACAATGCTAATCATCCTGATTTAAGTCTACCTTTCAGTATATTAAACTCAATTTTAGAATGGTATGTTAGAACAATATCTGATGAAATTTATAAGTTAAGCTTTCTGAATTAAAAAAAGTTTAATAGAGCAAAAATATTTTGGCCAAGTTAGTATGAAAATCAAAAAGACCTTATAACATAATATCTCAGTTAATTTGATGGATTTGATTTAGAAGATTATTTTGATGTTGTCATTATGATTTAAATGAAAGATGAAAAAGAATTGATTTTGAATTGCTTTTTAAATAGTTTTACTTTTTAAGTTGAAGAAAAAGAAAGAAATAATTTTTCTAATTAAAAAGGATTAGAATTATTTTATGAAAGAAAGGAAATTATTAAGATTAGATGTGAAACTGACTTAAGTATCTTGGTTAATTTAACAAATCTCCTTTGTGAGAAATACATATACTAAAGTCATTATTAGGAATAGCGAGATATTATTAAATTATCTCACTAAGAATTATACAGAAGATTGATTCCAATATTATAAGAAGAAACTTTAGTTGTTTTATATGAGCTATATAAAGATTAATGATAATTTTTGTTAAATATTTTTGTAGTTTCTTTTTTCTCTAAAATAGATCTTAAAAAATAATGAATATGAAAAAATTTAACAAGTCTCCTTAAATTTGTTTAATCTTCTCAAGTTTGATTCGATTTTCTTTGAATCAAAGATTAGCATCCTCTAAGACAAACCTCAGGTTCATCTATGTATATAATTCTAAATTTGAAATTTTTTTGTAGAAATTACTATTTAAATTTACTCTATTACAATATCAAGCAAATATATATTTATGTAAACTTAAATCAAATTAGTTTTTGTGTTGAAAATGAGAAAAAATTAATCAAAATGCTATTGCTATTCTTCTTTATTCATATAATATATTGATTATCTATTGCCAAATAGAATTAGGGATATTTTTGGAATACTAAAATTTCTTTTGGCTATTATACTTTTAATATTAGATATGAAACATGAATAGAGTCATATTTAACAATATATTAAAATAATAACTTATGCTTTGGCCATATCTTAATTTTATTATAATTCAATAAATTTATTTATTTTAAAATCATAAGATAACTATTATAGCAACAATCAAATTTTAAATTTAATCCTAACACTTTTGAGTATTTAATTACTCAGTCTTAATAATTTGGCTTATTAAAGTCACATTTGCTTTGAAATTCAAATTAGTTAAAATAAGATTTTAATAAATAATCTAATTGTTATTTGAACTTTATTTTAAAGTTTATGATTATGCCAGAGTATTAAGAATTATTTTAGATCAAAAATTTTATAAATAATTAATATAAAATTAATTATGTCATAGTTATCTGAATCCTCATCAGAGTTATTTGTAAATTGTGATGAAGAAGTTACAGCTATCTGTAAAAAGCTATAACAAATTCTAACTACTATTGATATTCAAGAAGATAAAATTTTTGCATTAAAGGAAGCATAAAGTTGTATTGATTCAGCAAATGAAAATGTAAATATTTTGATAAGCAAAGTTAAAATAAATGGAAGTAGAATTACAAGGTTTCGAGAAGAATATTAAGGATAATTTAAAATAGTAATTTATTTTGCAAAAAAGAAAATTGGATGAAATAAATAAAATTTATACTTAAATGAAATCTAAGTATGAAATTTAAACATCCAAAGAACTATTATTTGGTAAAGATTAATAAAGACAAAAACTTCTAAAAGAATAAGAACAAATATATGATTAAAATATGAAATTGTAAGATGCTAAAATGGTTATTTATGGAGTAGAAAAGGAAGCTAATGAAATTTAAATTAATTTACGTAGACATACAGATAAGTTATCTAGTAATATTGAAAAATAATAACGTAGATATATATAATAATTTTAGCTATTAGAGATGCATTAGGTAATTCATATGTATTGATAAAAACAATGTAAAATAGAATTAGAAATAATAAATTAGTATTATTTGTAGTTTGTGGAATCATTTTATTTGCAATTCTTATAATTATTTTCATGCATATGTGAAATAATTAATTTAATTTGAATTATTATAATTATATCATTCTATTATAACATTATTTAAGAAATAACTATAAACAATTTCTTTAAAGCTTCAAATAATTAATTTCAAATTTTTATAATTAGTATTTATAAATTAAAAAGTATTGATATATAATCATTGTAATCTAATAAGGATATGATTATTTGAAATGATATAAAATTTTTTGATAACAAAAGATAACATAAAATGTATTTTCTGAATTTGTTAGGTGGAATGATTGAACAAAATATATAATTTTATAATTAAAGCACTAAAATCGATACCTTTTTATAATGATTTTTACTGATTAAAGATTGGAAAGGACTAAAATTTATTAATAAATAATAAAATGATAAAATTAGGACATATGTTGGCACGAGAGTAAGCAAGATTGAGATCTGAAATGGAAGTTGCGTCTAAATAAAAGAAATTTCGAAATGCTACAGCATCTACATTGTAAAAAGCACACTAACAACAAGCTATCCAAATATATCGAAAACTTCCACTTTGTTATAAAAATCATAAGTTAGCCCAATAAACTCTTCCAATGTTATCAGTTACAATTGTTCACCAACATCATCCCCAAAATATTATTCGTTATCTCCTGATCCAGATAAAATGTTTGGATTAAAAAACAACTATAATTAGACAACATATAAAAATAAACTAGAAACTGTTTAAATGGCCCCTAATAAACCACCTTTAAAACGAGTAAATAAACTTAATAATTTGAGAAACATCAATAACAATAACTTAAGTTAACCTCATTGTATTAAAAATGAGGAATCAAAAGAAAAATTATTAGAATAAACCCACTTTTTATCAGGAATAATGTAATAATAACATAGTGCTACTGGTAAGATTGTTGCTAATTTTTTAAATGGGAATTTAGAGAAGAATAGTTATGAGTCTATAATTTAGATGGAAAAATCTGCTTAAGCTTTATAATAATCTGCAAAAGAAATGTCAAAAGCCTTATATGCATCTGATGATGAAGGAGAGTTTGAGAATCTATAAAATAAATTTATTGATCAAATACGATTTTCCAAATATAGAAAACCTAATTAAGAAAAAAATATAGTATTTAAAAGAAATTATGGTTAAAAACATGAAATGTTGATAGATTAAGTATCTTAATAAAGATAAAAATCTGAAGAAAATTAAGATTTTGATGTTTTTATTCCTAAATCTTAGATGGATTAATTTTTCAAGTAAACTTATTATAATCATATAGAATAATCTAGGATAAAATAGATGGCAGAATGAAAGAATAGACTGAATTGTTACTAAAAGAGGAATAAAAACTAGTAAATGGTATGATATCAAATGTTAAGAAATTTCGTGAGGATTTAAGGGAAGTTAAATATACAATGAGTCATGTCAGAAAAAATAAAAAGGCATTGCAATCTTAACAATAATAACCTTAATCTACTTTAAGAACTTTAAAAACAATGAAATCATAATCATCTGCTAGATTGTAAAGTGAAAAAGTCACATAAATGGATGAAGAAGCTAAGGCTGATTTAAAATTGAGAGTTATGAAAGCTTTAAGAAATTTCATGGAAAAATTAAAAAGATTTAATATTACACTTGATGATGTAGTGAATAATCAAGTTTTTCCAACTTAAGCATACGAAAGACCAAATAGTGTTGAATTCTTCAGACAAGTTAAAGCAGATAATATTCGAGAGATTGAAGGAATGTTACGTGATTGTAGATTTCACGTTTATGATAGAGATAATTAATAAAAGACTGCATTACATCATGCTGTTAACATTAATTCTATTGAAGCTATGAAATTATTAATTGAAAATGGAGCAGATCTAGATGCAAGAGATATGAGTAATATTATTAAATATTTCTAGTGGGAAGAACTCCTTTACATATAGCAGCAAAAAATAATAATTGTGATACTGTTAGAGTATTATTAGTCTATTAGGCTAACCCTTCTATTAAGACTGTTGCAGGTAAAACTGCTTAAGATCTAACTGAAATGCCAGTTATTAAGGCTCTTGTTAAAAATGCAAAAAAAGTAATTTTATAAATAATTCAAGTTACATTTTATGATGAATTTATAACCAAACAACAAGAAAAAAGATTTTTGGGTAGAAAAAGCAATTGTTTATTTCCAAGAAGATGATCCAGAGAAGATTTTAAAATTACAACTTTACAAAAATCAAGCAAAATTATTTTTATAATGATTTTATAATCCAAATTTTTATTTTACTATCTATTTAATTTAAATAGAGAAAATTAAATATTTTATATCAATTAAGCTATTTTGTATATCAATTATAGAATTCTTTAAATTAAAAAGCTTAATTGTATTATATCTTTTTTATCTTATCTTATTTTTATTTATAATATATGCATATTATTTTTATATTAAAAATTTGCAAATGAAAGAAGCATCTAATATTAATGATGAAAAAAGACCTTTGGCATCTATTCCATTGTAGACTTTCCTTTATTTTGATTATATTTTTACAGTATACATATCATAGCCATATTTAGTACATATATTTCATAATTGAAATAATTGTCTTTATCTACAAAGGTTATGGATTATTTTATCCTCCAAATAAAATAGGAATAGAAATATTTTTACAATTTCTATTAGCATTTTGTTAATTTCCTCGATTGATATTAGGATCAATTGGCAATAAAACAGAATCTCCATCATAAATTTTATGGTATTGAATATGATGTCTATTAAAGGTTTGTTTTATTAATTTTTCCTTGCATATTCTTTTACATCTTTTTTATTGTTTTGTAAACTTATGTAGTTATTTTGGAAATCATAATAAACGTGATTGCTTTGATATTTATAGTGTTTGAATTGCTATTTAGCTTATCAGCATTTTTAACTTTCAAAAATTATGAGAAATAGCAATGAATTTGAAATTAATGATATTTATATATAGTTAATTAGCATTGATAAATTTACATTATAAATTTAATATTATAAAATGGAAGACGACAGCAGAATAATAAATGATGATGAATCATGCATAACTAATGATTGTTAAGTTAATGAAACTTAAATTAAATAATATAAAAAGGTTAAATTATTAGGAGTTGGAGCATACGGTAAGGCTTATCTTGTTTCATCTGATGATTAAGATGAAGTTAAATATGTTATGAAAGTAGTACCTTAATCAATTTCAGCAAATACAGAAGCATCTATATTATAAAATCTTAGACACGACAATATTATTTAATATGTAGAAACCTTTATAGATAATAAAGATCGATTATGTTTAATTATGGAATATGCAAATAGTAATATATTTTAATTGTAATCTTTTAGATGGTACTCTAGGATAATATTTAAAATCAAGAACATAGCCTTTACCTGAGGCATAGATAATTGATTGGTTTACACAATTATGTTTAGCTTTGCAATGTGTACATTCTTAAAAGATAATTCATAGAGATATCAAATCTGAAAATGTATTTTTGCATGATGAAAAAATTAAATTGGGAGATTTTGGAATTGCTAGATCAGTTGAATAGGATTTAGCAACTACATTTATAGGCACACCTTATTATATTTCTCCAGAAATAATATAAAATTAACCCTATTCATACAAAAGTGATATATGGTCTTTGGGAGTACTTCTCTATGAAATGTGTACATTTAAATATCCATTTACTGCTGATTCATTACCAGCACTAGCTAATAAGATTATGAAAGCAAAAATATAACCAATAAGTGCTTAGTAATATTCACAAAATATGAAAAATTTAATTCAATAACTTTTGTAATTAGATGCAAATAAGAGACCAAATATAGAATAAATTTTATGTATCGTTTTATCATAATTTAGAAAATGCTTTAATTTAAAATAGAATTAAATAATTAAATATTAAGTAATAATAAATCATAAAAATACCTGTTTAACCTATGCAAAGTAAAGATAATTGTAAAATTAGAGAAGCAATAACATTAAGTTGTTATTAAAAATGATGAATACACATAAAATAAAAAAATATCTAGAGAAGAATAATAAAAATTCATGAGAGAAGATATTTAAAAAAAAGTAATTCTATTTTTTTTTATTTAGAAATGTCAACAAAAACCATAAGAAGTAGTGATAGAACTATTTGGTTAACCTAAAATAAAATAAGATCAGATATAATAGTAACAAAGTTAAATAGATAAAAAATTACCAAAAAGAAGAGATATTCCAGTAGAGATATATTTACCTTATATATCAAGATCTGAGTTTTTAGATTAATAATAATAATAATAATAATAATAATAATAATAATAATAACCTTAACAGAGTTAATCTATAGAAATAGATATAAACAATAATAATAATGAATTAAAATTAGAGAAATAATTTTCTGAAAATACATAAATTCAAGATATACCAAATTAAAAGTTAGAAAAATAGAACTCCAAAAAATAAGACAATATTAAATGCGTTCCTTAAGATACATAAATTGCACAGAAACCCATTATCAAATTAAGTTTTGAAAGAGCTGAAAAAATAAGAATGAATTTAGAACAAGTCTTCGGAACTGATTAATTCTTAAGATTATATTAAATTTTTAGAGGATTGAGAGAAAAATTTAGTTTTGATGAAATATCTCAATAATATGGACCTACTTATGAAAATTTGATTCCAGATATTAATTAGCAGTGTATGCAAGAGTAATTATCAAATTTATTTATATTACTTGAGTTTGATTTGGAGCAATGAAATTTATATTCAAAAGGTTTTATGCATGAATTTTAGATATTATATTTAATAATTAATAATGCAAAAAACAATTCTGATTATCTCTCTAATAATAGTTCTAACTTACACAGCTACTACATATTCAGATTAAGATTTAATGATATTGATGGAAAAAGCACAAATTAGAGGAGACTACTAAGATATTGTTAATGAAAGAAGTGGAGCATTAATTTCAAATGCTAGAGAGCTAACATTTTATGGAGATCAATTTAACAATAGTCCATTAAGAGATGCAGTCTATGATATTGCTCTTAATAGTAAAGGATACGTTAAAACTCCAGTATCAGGAAAAATTTAACTTGACTTATTGTAAGAATATGAATTAAATACTGTTGTTATATGGTTTTATGATCTTTAAGTGATTACTTATAAGTTTAAAGTAACCTTAATTTACCCAGATGATTCTACATAAGATGTTTACTCTAATAATGCAGCAGTAGGTGGAATTTATAGAATCACATTTGATGATAGTTTAGTGAAATCAATTTTAATTGTTGACATTTCAGGTACTTAACCCTTATAAATCATTAAGATTTAGGCATTCTATGCATTTTGATTGAAATAATAATTTTAATATACAAAACAAAATATTCATAATATTATTCTATTGTCATGATATAAGAAATTATATAAAGATAATTAAGTGACAAATTGTAAAGTTAAATTAAAGTTTTTCTGTAACAATAGTAATTCCTTAGAATAAAATGCTTGTTTATTATAATTAGATTTAATCTTTTTGAAAAATAATATAAAATACTTACTTTAATAAAATAAATTATAACATTAATACATTATCTTTATCTTATTTAATGTATGAAAAACTATTCTAATTCTAATATTCTATAGACATTAAATAAGTATTTTTAAGAAAATTCTTATTAAAAGATATAGTCTCTTGAATGGCTACAAATTAAACCAATAATTTACACTACAAGATTTTCTTTTTGGTTTAATTTTTCAAATTATAATATTTTATAAAAATTCATGGATTTGGATCGCTATAACTATCTTCAGAAGAGAGATATAAAATTGGCATAAATTATACCTGATCAAATGCTTTAGGTGATGGAAATGCTCATACATTGGATCTTTTAGGTTTGTTATTTGGTTTAATATTAGGTTGGCGAGTAAAATAATTTGGAAATTAAAACAATTGAATTAGCTGCCATTCTAAGTAAATTATATCTTTCAAAATAACTTATCGATTCTGATAAAGTAGATCTGATAGGAATAGTTTCAATTATGATTTCAATAAAAGTAAGAATATATATATATTTCTTTAGTTCAATGAATGTCAAAACAAAATTCAGATGAATATTCAAGACTGTGTTAATTAATGTCAATCTAAATATAGTTCTAAAGAAATAACAGATATGGAAATGAGTCTTCTATCTCTTATTGAATACGATGCAAATATGACTACTATAACTGATTACTATGATGGTGAAGCTGTCTAAATTGACTTGGTTTTGTTTGTAACTCTTGATTCTGAATTTCTGTACTTTCAAAAATATGAATTGTATGAAGCAATTAGAAATTTTTACTCAAAAGATACATCAAACTTATCTGAAAATACAAAAAATGTATATAAATCAAATAGTATTAGATAATCAGCAGGATTAGTGCTAAAATTAATCAATTGACTGCAAATGATGTAAGTAATACTCCAAAAATAAAAAAGAAAATAATTAAGAAAAAGGGACTAAGAAGATCAAAAATTTACAGTTCACAAAGTATAACACTATGAAAGAGTATGATTTCAATTTAATTTTATGATTATAACCACTGTTTAAACAGTGGAAATTTATATATGTTTTTTATCTTCTTACTAAATCCTATCCTAATCAAAGTTATAATCTTCATGCTGATTAATATTTTAAATTTTTGGAGGGAAACCAAGGAATAATCTGATATTTAAATTTGAATTATTAATCATAATATATAATATTCATTCAAGATTTAAAACATAACTATGTTATAATATATTTTCATTAATTCTTAATTACATTCATGTGATTAAAATGTCAAAATTTATCAATAAATGTCAAGACTTTATAGAAATGATTTTTCTTAAAGTATATTTATCAATGGAACTATAAAAAACAATATATTATTATGAAATATATACTTGAAAATGCTGAAGAATTTTTGAATTAAAATCTTTTATTTTTAATTAAAATATGGTTGTCAAGTCACTTGCTCATAAAAGAATTGTTCATAAGAGAACAAAGAGATTTGTTAGATTTGAATCAGAAGACTATCCTCACAAATTAAGACCAAGCTGGAGAAGACCAAGAGGTATTGATAACAGAGTCAGAAGAAGATTCAGAGGAAATAGACCTATGCCAAAAGCTGGTTATAGAGGTGATAAAAAGACAAGGTATTGTGAAATCAAATGACTTTTTAGATACTTAGATTAAACTGGTTTCAGAAAATTGTTAATTACCAATGAAAAAGATCTTGAATTATTGCTAACAAATAATAGAACTTTTGCAGGTGAATTAGCACACAATCTTTCAGCTAGAAAAAGAGCTACTCTTGTTAGAAGAGCAGCTGAACTTAATGTTAGATTAACAAATGGAAAAGGTAAAATTAGAGCAGAAGAGAAAAAGGAATGATTAATTTCTGTTGTACAATATAAATATATTAATGCAATGTCTAATAAGGTTGTTATTGTAATAATAATTAAAAAATAATATTAGCATTAATTTGCTTAATACATACTTAATCATGAATGAATGATTATATTAATATAAATATATTTTGTTTGTTTTTTTAAACTATGAATAATATATGAAATTTTATATAAACATTTCTAAATTATATAAATAAAGCTTATGTTGTTAAAAAAGATTAATTTAATCAATAAAATTATTAATCAATATTTTTCAAGACTTTGATTCTTTACTAAATATCTAAATAAAATCTAAAAGATAAATTCAATTTAGATTAGATTATATTATTTTATTATAATTAAGTTTCATAATTAAATTGATACAAATAATGTTCTAAATTTATTACGTAATCTCTTTCAAAAAGCATAAAATGCTTATATTTTTAAAATGATTAACCACTAATCTAATGAACTTCCATTTCTATTCTTAATCTTTATTTATTTTATCAATGTATCTGAAAACTTTATGATTGTAACACTCTTGGAGTTGTTACTCTCATAAATCAATTAATCAGTTATTCCTAATCCTGATGCAAATATCTATATATCATAAGTTCTTATAAATGTAGGGTCTCTATCATATAACCAAATTTTTATCGTATTGATCTCGTAAGTCTAGAGTAAGTCTATTATAATGAATTAAGATAATCCAACATAGCAATAACCTCCAGATATCATATAATAAATTGAATTTCTTAATGGGCTACTATTTTGTAAGCCTCCAATAAATCCAACACTTCTGGCATTAGAAATAATAGCTCCTGCTGACTCTTGAGCAACATCTTTGTATTCACCTCTAATAACTGATTTCTATTTTAATTGATCCAATTATGTGATATTGTATTTTGCTACAGAATTCATTGTTTCTGCATTTTGAAAAATAAGATAAAGAGTGAGATAAATCAATTTCATTCTTTATTCGAAAATAATTTTGAATATTATAACATTTTATTTCTTAACAAGATAAATAAGCTATAAAAATCTAAAATATAAAAAGATACTAACTAAATCATAGTAAATTCATTAAGATATAGTTTTATATATTAAAATACTAAATTTTAGAAATAATTTAGGATATAGATTTATAGAATCAATTATATTCAAAGAATTTAACAAATTTAGAATCTTATTTCAAATAAAATAAGTCTCTCAAATATATATGCAATAATATAAAAAAAGAGTAATAGGAGATTGAAATAAACTATATATATCTATTATATTATATAACCGAAATTATAATGCTCAGTAAAATCGTATAAATTAAATATTAATAGAATCATGTGATAATGTAATTTTTTTTATTTTTAAATTTTATTGGGTTGTTTCTATTTTATATTATTCTTAATTGTAAATTTCAATGAAAATAGCTTTATCTTTATTAGTCTTACATATTTTTCTTACTACACCTACATTATAGTATAGTTCGTCATATTCGTGTAGGCAATTAAAAATTTAACAATTTCGCTATAGAATTAGAGGACAATATAAAAATATTTTATAAGAAAAATAAGGAGCTTTTATTTCAAATAAAGATTAAATTTACTTTGCAGGAGATTAATTTAATAAGAATCCATTTAGATCAGAAATATATTATGTAGATGGAGGAAGAGGATATACTATTTAAGAAATTGGTAAATATATGATAATTGATTTACTCTAAACCTATGAAATCAATAGAATAATACTTTGGGTTTATGATAGGGATTTATCTTTACGAACATTTGATTTAAAAGTATATATTAAAGGTCCTGGAGAAATTGAACAATTAATTTATTAAAATAACCTTGCAACCACTATAATAAAGATAAAGTTTTCTGATGCTTTTGTGAAATAAATACTTATATATAATAGTAATGGTAGTTCAGTGAATTAATACTTACATTTATTTAACCTACAAGCTTATTATAAATTATGAATTAAAAAATCATAAATTTTATTATAATGATATATACTTAACTTAATAAATATAAATATCCATCAGATTATTAAATTAAGAAATATCATTAAGAATTTAAAACATGAAAAATATTGTGAAAAAAAGTGATAATCGTTATATAATTATTAAAATATAACCTAATCATTATTCCTCTTCTTATTATTCGTTATCTTCTTTTTCTTAACTTTTTGGTGAATCTAATACATTTGGAATCTCATTTTAATTGTTTTATTAATTTTAATTATTTTCCTCATCATGTATAGACTATTAATTATTCTATTCATCTTATTTATTTTCAGATTCTTTGATTCCTTAATTTTAGTTATCATTTTAATCTCCATTATCATCCTTATTAGAATCATTTTATATATTTGGTTCATTTATTTCATTAATTTATTCAATAGATATTTTAGAAGATTAATCTTTATCAGATTCATCTATATGTGGTCGATCTTAATTTTTTTAAATTCCTTCCTCATCAGTATTAAAATTTGATAAATCTTTATTTTAATCTCTAAATATAATTATTTGTTTATTACTCTTTTTATTTTGGTTAAAGATACTTTTCTGCAAATTCTTTAGCTGTCATTGTTAAAGCTGATTCTAATTCTTCAAATGCAGTTTTTTACATTTATTAAGTGTTTTATAATTTCTATAACAAATCCATTTCATATGTTTCAATTTGTTCAATCTCTAAAAATTATTGCTATTTAATTACCTTTTTATTTTCCATCCTTTAACTTTTGTTCAAACTCTAATTTCTTTCCTAATTATTCTCTTATAGCTTCTCTTTTNAATTAGAGGACAATATAAAAATATTTTATAAGAAAAATAAGGAGCTTTTATTTCAAATAAAGATTAAATTTACTTTGCAGGAGATTAATTTAATAAGAATCCATTTAGATCAGAAATATATTATGTAGATGGAGGAAGAGGATATACTATTTAAGAAATTGGTAAATATATGATAATTGATTTACTCTAAACCTATGAAATCAATAGAATAATACTTTGGGTTTATGATAGGGATTTATCTTTACGAACATTTGATTTAAAAGTATATATTAAAGGTCCTGGAGAAATTGAACAATTAATTTATTAAAATAACCTTGCAACCACTATAATAAAGATAAAGTTTTCTGATGCTTTTGTGAAATAAATACTTATATATAATAGTAATGGTAGTTCAGTGAATTAATACTTACATTTATTTAACCTACAAGCTTATTATAAATTATGAATTAAAAAATCATAAATTTTATTATAATGATATATACTTAACTTAATAAATATAAATATCCATCAGATTATTAAATTAAGAAATATCATTAAGAATTTAAAACATGAAAAATATTGTGAAAAAAAGTGATAATCGTTATATAATTATTAAAATATAACCTAATCATTATTCCTCTTCTTATTATTCGTTATCTTCTTTTTCTTAACTTTTTGGTGAATCTAATACATTTGGAATCTCATTTTAATTGTTTTATTAATTTTAATTATTTTCCTCATCATGTATAGACTATTAATTATTCTATTCATCTTATTTATTTTCAGATTCTTTGATTCCTTAATTTTAGTTATCATTTTAATCTCCATTATCATCCTTATTAGAATCATTTTATATATTTGGTTCATTTATTTCATTAATTTATTCAATAGATATTTTAGAAGATTAATCTTTATCAGATTCATCTATATGTGGTCGATCTTAATTTTTTTAAATTCCTTCCTCATCAGTATTAAAATTTGATAAATCTTTATTTTAATCTCTAAATATAATTATTTGTTTATTACTCTTTTTATTTTGGTTAAAGATACTTTTCTGCAAATTCTTTAGCTGTCATTGTTAAAGCTGATTCTAATTCTTCAAATGCAGTTTTTTACATTTATTAAGTGTTTTATAATTTCTATAACAAATCCATTTCATATGTTTCAATTTGTTCAATCTCTAAAAATTATTGCTATTTAATTACCTTTTTATTTTCCATCCTTTAACTTTTGTTCAAACTCTAATTTCTTTCCTAATTATTCTCTTATAGCTTCTCTTTTTTCCATTACAATTCTTTCTTTCACTCTATTCAAATCTCTTGATTCTCTAAATATCTAATTTTTTTATTTAAGAGTTGTTAATGATTATTTTTAAGAACTCATTTTCCTTACTTCATTATGTTTTGTTTATTATTTGATAATAAATGCTTTTTATACTTTATCATTTCTATGTTTTTCAATTAATAATTTATGTTCTCTCTCTTGCTATTTTCTAATTTATTATTATTGCTCTTATTTCTTCTATAATTGTTCTTTTTCTTCTTCTCTCTAAAATATTGAATTAAGTAGATTTACTTTTTTCAGTTTTTCTTCATTCTTTTTTTTAAGATAATAAATTTCCAATGCCTTTTTACGAGTCTCCTCTATCTTTTTTAATGTTCTAATTTCCTCTTATTTCAACAATGCTACTCTATTATCAAGTAATTGTTTGTGTGCTTCAATTGTTTTTCTTTCTCTCTTAGCAGTGTTGTATTATTTTATTAAATCCTTATCTTCATCAAGTTCATTGTCATTTGTGAATAGATCATCAATATATGCTTACTATTTTGGAATGATATCATACCTTTTACACACTTTTCCTTTAAGAATGAACATCTGCCATTTATTACAAAACAAATAATTATTATTAAATACAATACAAGTTCAAACTCAATAATATCAACAAAATTGTTGATCTTACTATAAACACTTCTTTAAACATATTAAATTAAATAGAAGCATTCAACAACATATCAATTGCTAAAGCATAATTTCTTAATAAAATGAAGCTAACCTAAAAGTTGAATTAAGGAAAACAGACTCTAAATATTTGAATTTACATCAAAATATAGAAGCAAAGTTTATAAAGATGGAATCAAATATTTTATTTGAATGATTCAATATATTTTATACATTTTGCATTTGCAAACCTTTCCCTTCTTATTCCATCCAGTTCCATTACATTTTAAACAGACTCCCATAGCCCATAAACAATCTTTGCATTGCTTTCTTTTACATTTTTTCATATAAAAACCAGTCCCTCCACATCTGATGTTTAAAATATATTATACAAATAGCAATTAGGTCTTATTTTTATCTAAATATTTCCTCCAGCATAATTATATTATCCTTATGGCATAACCATAGCAGTTGCTGGATATTAACCAGGATATCTATAATAATATAAATAATTTACTATTAAGGTGGGTATGGTTAAGTATAATTAGGAGGGGGAACATAACCTGGTTAGGGAGGATAACCAGTAGGAGGATACCCAGCAGGAGGATAGCCAGGAGCAGGGGGATAGCCAGCAGGAGGATAGCCAGGAGCTGGGGGATATCCTGGTTATGGATATCCACCAGCAGGAGGGGGATAACCAGGCGTAGGTGGATAAGGATAGCCAGTAGGAGGTGGCTAATATCCAGGCTATTGAGGGTAGGGAGTTTATCCATATGCAGGAGGAGGAGGAGGAGGATATTATCCTGGGGTATAGCCATAAGGTGGAGGAGGTGGTGTTTACATTAAATAATAATAATATTAATATTTTATAATGATTAAGATATAAAGTAGAATACAAATTGATTCTATGTTTATTAATTCTTCATTTATAATAATATGATTAAAGATCGTAATTTTGGAATAATTGATTTCCATACTTAATTAAATTTATAATATGCAAAGAATTGCCTTATTACATACTAATTTCTGTTCTTATGAAAAAGTTATTGTAGAAAGATTAGAATAGGAGTAAATTGGTTTAATATACTTAAATTCCCCAAATGATCTAAATTCTTTGTCTGAACCAATGAAAAGAGATCTTGCATTGGCAATTTAAGAATTGGATTCAGATAGCAATATTAAGGTAAGATTATATTTTTTAATAAGGTTTTAATTTTGTTGTCCAAATTAGAAAAGCTATTTTGTGCTGGAGCCAATATTAAAGACATTTCAAAAATTAGTTTGGAATCATAGTTGAAAGGAGACATATTTTAGAATATATTTTAAGTGTTAGAATCTATAAGAAAGCCATTAATAGTAGGAATCAACGGAGTAGCTTTGGGAGGAGGTCTTGAACTTGCTTTGAATGGTGATATAATTGTTGCAACAGAGGAGTGTAAATTGGGTTTGCCAGAACTAAAATTAGGTTTTATCCCAGGACTAGGAGGAACATAAAGATTGACAAAACTTATTGGAAAGACTAATGCTATGAAATACATCTTAACTTCTGATAGTATTTCAGCTTAAGAAGCTTATTAAAGAGGAATAGTGAATTCTGTAGTGAAAAAAGAGTAATTAAGGGAAGAATGCATTAATATTGCAAAGAAAATAAGTGAGAAATCATTATACACACTTATTGCAGCAAAGGCTGCCATAAAGAATGCTGAAGAGATGCCAATTAGTTAAGCCAATAAAGTGGAGAGATAAATATTTAATAGTCTTTTAAATACTAAAGCTGCTAAGGAAGGAGTCACTGCTTTTGTGGAAAAGAGAAAACCTAATTTTAGAAACATATGAATATTTGAATAAGTATTATATTAATAATAATAATATTATCATAATAATAAAATGTTATAAATCACTTGTTTTCAATTGTAACAGGAGAAGGCCAAAACTTATTTTTATAGGATTTGCTATTCTTTATACTTTCATTTGTTATTTCAGACCAATAAGTTTTGAGTTCAATAGGTCCATCACCAATTGAGCCATCAAATTAAAAAGCTAACCAAGTAAAATCAATCTTATCTCTAAAAGAATTTGGTACTAAAAGTTAATTTAAATATTATTACTTGAAGGCAATCTATATTGAACAAGAGGATAATCTAATTCATATACATATATTGTAATAACAGGATTAGATTCTATCCAATCTTATACATTTACTACTTTATCATCTAATGCTTAAGTTCTTTCCATAAATCTTTTAATAAAAATTAAATAAGTAAAAGGTTGTATTTAATTTATAGTTAAAATCTCAATATGTTAATCTCTCTCATCTTTAGTTTATAAACTCATTCCACCACAAGATTTAGATATAGATCCAGTTAAACAAACAAAGTTTTCTCCTTTGAATTAACCATATAAATCCAAATTAAGATTTTTAGATGTCCATTCTAAAGTAATCTTCATAGAATGCTTTTTAACTTCTTTCACCATTCTTACAAAGATATTAGTTTTAGGTGATAATTCAGTTAAATCAACAAGTGCACATGCATTTTTATATCCTTATTTTTTTACTAATAATGTATAAACTTATTTAGTAGCTACTCTAAAATAATTAAGTTATCCAATACTATCAGATATTGCTGATAAAAAGGGAGATTCTACTTAATCCATAACTTAACATGTTGTATAAACAAACTTTCCATAGTATAATTTTCCATCAGCATCAGAAATTTTTGAAAAATCTTCACTATTTTAAACATTTGCAGTTATTTATAAATAAGGTACAATTTTACTAAATTATTATTACAATTATGGATCAATACTTAAAATTCTATTCTTTTTATCATTTTCCATTTCATAAAATTCTTATAAAATAGTAAAATCAGCTGTTTCAGGTTCATCAGAACAAAATTATAAACATGATCCTATAAAATGACTTACTGATGCCAGAGATCCTTCAACAATTATAACATCCTATCCTGGTTTATTTGCTTTAGGAAATGCTTTTGTTATTAATTCATCAGTAGTCAATATCTTGAAATCACTTAAATTTATATCATTATTAATTAGAAATGATCCTCCCATACCTAATATACCAAGTAAAATTCTATGATATAAATATTATATTATACCCAGGTTTCTTCATATCATCTTTAGGCTATAAATTCACTTTTGTTAACATTAAATTTGTTGCTAGTTCACAAATATCAGTATTAGACATTTAAGTTCCAAAAGATTTCTGTGGTTTGAAATATTTATATGTTGGAGTATCAAGCACAGTTAATTAATTTAAAAGTAAAGGCTACCTATATGATAAATGATTTTAATATTTACGATACAACTTAATCTTATAATTATAATTATTAAGGTGAAATGGAATTGTATATAGCAATTATTCCAAAGAATAATCCAAAAAATAATAATAACATGAATAAATCTGTGAGAATATTTTATTCCTTATTGCCAACATCATATTTTGAAAGCATAGCTGTATTAAATGCTTAAATTATTCCTATTGCTACTATAATATTAACCCAAACAGTTAAATGATACAAAGGTTTACTAATAAAATCTTTGAGTGAGTCACAACAATCTAAATTAATACATGCTATTTAATCCATATTTGATTCCCACATATATGATTGATTTTCTTAAGGACATGGAAGATATGGTGATTATCTTTCATTTAGATATTTTTCTGAACAATTTAAAAATTATTTAACTGTCTAAACTCCAAGACTTTAAAGTGCATATCTACATCCTTTCTATGTAGATATATCAGTCTATAATATAGAGTATTATCTAATCATCATTCCATTAGCAGTGGCTGCTATGAGTAGAGCTGCTACTATTAAAAAGGCTACAATCAAGAAATAGTTTTAAACTCTAAAAATGAGAATAACACTAATTAAGATAGTAGCCATTAATAATGCAAATAAACCATATTACATGAACAAAATAATGGTGTTATTGTGATCTAATGAAAAAACTTGATTGTTTATAAGATAGACTAACTATTATATGAAATTATTATTTTACGAATTTGAAATTAGTTGCTGCAAACAACAAAAATAAAATGTTTAATAATACTGAGAATGCTAATGTGAATCTATGAATTCCATTTTATGTTTTGCTAAATTATTTTGTCTTATTGATCAAATAGATTAAAAAAAACAATTTGAATATTTAAAGTCCAACAAACCATAAATTAGCTAAATGAGTTTTATATTGAATTATAGTTATAATTATTCCTAAGAAAATTGCTGTTATACTTTATAATCCAAATTATATTATATATGATGTATTATTTTCTTAAGGATTTCCAAATTCATCAAATTGAAGTGTAAAAACAAAGTATAATGTTATGATCAAAATGGAAATAAGAATAATCTGAATATAATAGTTTAATATATTTACATCAAAGATTGCTAAAATAAGAAATTCAAAATTGTTATTTTTAAAATAGCCTAAAAAGGCAAAGATTGCTGATACAATTGAAAGTGCAATCAAAATAGGAGCAGTACATTTGATTGTAGATAACCTTTTCATAAACATTGTATTGGATTGGGATTGTGGTTGATCCATTAAAAATTAAAAAAATAAATATAATTTAAAAGAAATGTTTATTTGCCGAGAAGTTTGTAATTATATAACTGCTAAAATGAATTGATAAAATATTGAAATTAATTTAATCAATTTGATGAACTTTTTATTATTACAGTTTTCAAATTTAGTATTTATTGCTTTTGGACAATACTCTAGGTAATATTTTTGAAATATAGAGTTCAGCTAGAAGGTGGAAATTGGTTGCCTTAAATAACTAACAGTAGGATTCGGATGTTAAGAACTATGTGTTTTAGGTGTAGAAGATTGCAGTACTAATCCTCCAAAATGCGAGTTTGGTTACTTTTTATTTACATTGGGATCTTCAGAAACTAAGCCACCAGAATGCGTTTAATGGTATATTAGTAATAAATATCATAGTCCTTATTATGAGGTTAATATACATTCAGACTTAGTAAATTATTGTATGGATTGCTTTGAAGATCCTTATGGTTGGGAATTCAGTAGGAAATGTACTTATGATTATGAAGTTGGGAATGGTAAAATTGGTTAAGGAACTTATTAAAAAATTGAAAGAGATTATCCTGAATTATTTTTTGTTGGTAATTCAATAAAATTAGGAACCTGGTCTGAAACAGTGACAAGATCAAGACAAATGAAATATGCTGTCTATATATGTACAGGATGCAAAGATTTCTGCAAAACTCCTGATGAAAGTTCATGCTATACATTTGAGCATGATTACAAGAAAGTTGACTATGATAAGATTGGGATAGAATGCATTGAAGGATACTATTTTAAGATGAATAAATGTGAAAGTTGCTCTATTAAATATTGCAGTAAATGCAGTAGCATAGTAGGGTCTGGTATTACTGATAACTGTGAATAATGTTAAGATGGTTATAGATGGAGTACCTTAACTAAAAGTTGTGTTAAATGTACTAACAATTGTAGTCTATGCATCACAGAAAGTGAATATAATGTAGAATATTAAAAATGTAAAGCTTGTTAAAGTGGATATATTCCAAGTTTGGATTTGAAGACTTGTGAAGGATGTGAAGCAAATTGTTTGAGATGTGAATATGTTTCAACATCTGACAATACTAATATAAAATATCCATCAAGATCATTTTTGTAAGTCAGCAACAAAGATCTTTATGTAAAAATGTGTAGACAATGTTAATAAAGTAATGATATCATAAATTATGATGGTTAATCATGTGTACCTACTTAGATAAGTAATTGTGATATTGGATACTATAAAATAACTCTTAAAGAATCTGCATTTATGACAAGAAACTCTATTGATCTTGATTTCACTCCATATAATAGGAATACAGATTTAGATCCTGTAAGTATGTGTTTATATTGTAAAACTGACTTTGTGTTATCAGAAGATGGTACTTCTTGTACTGCTGCTATTGCTGCAAAAAAAATATCAAATTGCATAGCTCATTAATTTAGTGGTACTAATTATATATGTATTAAATGTTCATCAGTATTATTATTAATAATATAATATAGGGATATTCTTTAGATACAAAATAGGGATAATGTTTCTTAGGATGTAGTGATTAAATAGATAATTGTGCTTATTGTTATTCATATGACAGTCCTAGTGATGATATTGTTACATATTATGATGAATCTGGTACTCAAAAAACAGGAGATACTTAAAAAGTTTATGCTTGTTTAATTTGTGATGAAGGTTATTATGCTGATTTCTTTACAAATTCTTGTTTACCTTGTCCATCTTATTGTTCTACTTGCTCATAATATAACAAAGATTATAATTTTACTAGTTATATATAATAGAGAGTTATTGTAGACTCATTCAAAAAGTCTAAGTACTTAACTACTATGCTTGAAGAACCGTTTTGTTCATAATGTACTACTGGATTTTCAAAATATGGAAATTCTTGTGTAGGTTGTACTAAAAATTGTGTCATTTCAAATCCTAGTTAGGTTGCAAATAATCCATTGTCTTTTTTATTGAATGCTTGTGAATATCAAAGGAATGGAGCTTTTTGTGGACAATGTTTCAATTATTATAGAGATAGATCTTTAAATTCTGAATTGACAGAATGTCAAACTTGTCCTTATAGATGTACAGCTTGCAGAGATAGAACTTAAGATGAACTTAATAGAGTTAATTATTATTTTTCACCTTCAAACTCTATATTGTTAAAGTATAGTAGATTGTGTTATGCTTTTGATGAAAATATACCATACAGTTATAATGTAGCATATGATACTTATTTAAATATGCCAATTGAATGTTTTTAATT